TCAATCAACTGGGGTGGCACCCAGGGTGTCCAATCAGGTTCTAGGGTTGGCCAGTGCTACCCCGCCACCCCTCTAGCTCCGCCCCTGTTAAGAGGCTGAAATCAAAGAATTTGACATTTTTTTCTTAAATAGTTGGCGACTAATTCAATAGTTGACAACGCTGCAAACTGTGATGTGCTGTCACCAAACACTTAACTACTAATAAATTAACTGGAGAGCGAGAGACACGAGACGAGCTCTAATCAGGAAACATGAGTGAAAACCTGTGTGTGGGTGGACTGTATGTGTGTACAGGCTTTTTCATTCTGCGTAACAAGGCCTTGGTTTTTTCTTTTGGGACGAAAATAGTCTAGACTCAAGGTCCACTCACTGGCTTTCTGTGGAGCTTTCAAGTGAATGTCATGGCCTTCATTAGGACATGAAAGATACCTATTGATGTACTTATAACCTATCATCATTATTTATTCTTACCAAAGATGACCTCTGACGACTGTGAGTTGCTGTTGAAAGCACCAGAAAAAGGTAGTAAGTGGTCAGTAAGTCTTATGCGTTTGCCTTCTACAGCAGCTCATAAATATTAATGAGTTAAAGCGCAAAGCCAGAACATACGGATGTCTTAATTACCTAGCTGTCAGATACTAATTGGGCTCCTAATTAGTGCATTAAAAATGACAGGTGCGCTTAAAGGTTATGTAGTTGTGAATGTATAAAGTACGTTAAAACACAGATTGTGCTAAATTAATTGTAAGTATACAGAATTTCAAAGCTGCTTAATTGATTATGAGGATTTTGGTATTTATAACCAGATATATATCAATTACAGAAAGTCTTAACTGCCATACTTATTTACTTATATTTTAAAATGTTGAGGTATTGACAGTATAATTAGTGGACAACGCTGCCAGGTCGTCTTAAACCTGCATTTCTTTCTAATGGCCAGCAGGGGGTGACTCCATGGGCTGCATAAAAGTCAGATAGTATGGAGCCTTATGGATACTATAACATGTACGACCTGGCGAGTCGCTAATGTTTTCTGCTACGGACAAGTCAAAACTGCGCCACCGATGAGCGCAACTCAACTCTCAGTACGTCACTGCTGCTGGCTCCGAAAAATCGCTATGGCGTCAACCTATTGTGATATTTCCAGTCATCACTGCTTGCAATTGCTTGATATTTACCTGACATACATGAGATACAATCTTCTCATCTAACTCTCAACATGTAACTATTCCTTGAACTAGTTATGTTTATGTTGTTATTTCTAGTTATCGTGGGGACCTGGCAGCTCAAATGTCTCTTGTAGATATAATGCTGATTAGAAAACTCATCTCTTCCCCTCTTCCAGAAGAGCAGCTCACCTCTCACTGCGTCAATGGATTCTGATCATATCCTCCCCATCTCATCGCAGAAGGCCTCCTCCTCCTCCTCCTCGTCCTCCTCCTCCCAGTGGTCTTCGTCTTTGGCTGTAAGCCTGGTGCGACCGCTGAGCCGCGAGGTCAGCCAGGGCTCGTCCAAGACCGCTGATGGCGAAGCTGGTACCAATCTACTGTCCGCTCCCATCAGGCCCGGCCGCAGCAGTCCCAGCCTCTCGCGGCTCGCTGGCGGCCTTCCACTTCAAGCCCAGGTGGCACGCAGCGAGCTTAACGTCCGCCTGCCTAGAGGTACGTGAGGATACAGCATATGTTCCTGCTTTCATGCACTCCGTTAGGTACATTTGCCTGCATGTAACACATACCCACTCCTGTACGTTGTCGCTGAGGTAGTGCTGGGTTTGCTAAGTGCCGGGCTTCTGAGGAGAAACATTTGAACCATTTGACTCTTTAAAACTACTGACATTTTCTAATGCTTGTTGGCTGTTTTTAGTCATGCTTTAGCTCAATGCTAACGACACTGCGGTTACAGGGTCCACCACTTTGGTCTTGACTAAAATATACTCTATACATCTACTGGATGGTCATACAATTTTGGACATTAATGTCATTAATGCTCCACAGAAGATGAATCCCTTATCCCTCCTAGCACCACCAGCAGGTTGATATTTGTAGTTTAGAGTAAAATGTCATGACAGCTATTATCCGCACAACTAAAAAAATTCCCATCAGCCTCAGCTGTCCATTGTGTTTCGATCTAATTAGCTAATGTTAGCATGCTAACACGCTAAACTAAGCAGTGTTTCTGCCAAACAATGCCAAGCGTTGTCACTGAGAGCACGTTAGCATACTGACATTAGCATGTAGCTCGAGTACAGCCTGACATGACGGCAGACTTTGAAAAAAAAGGTGACTGACCGCAGCGACACAACAGCGGGGGTTAACTGCTGGATACTTTAGATGTAAGACAAATGAATAGAAGCTGTTATGCTTAAAGAAAAACAAAAACACTGAAAGCGAGGGGTTTCATCAGGGGAAATAAAAAGAAATGTTAGGAGTGCCACAGTACTGAGCTAGCCTTTGTTTTCAGTGACAGTGAGTGGCCTTTCATCCTTTATTTTCTGGCACTGAATTGGCTGGTATTATATCTTTGAAACAGTGAAAAGGATGCATTTTTACACCCTATCAAGTGAAGTATGTTTGTACAAAATAAACCTTGCAAGCACAAAATGAAATAAGAAAATGGAGAATTATTGCACTTCATACATTTGCTGAGTTTAAAAGGAAAACTCCACCTTATTGGTTTTCAACAAAACGACTGTAATACATTAATAATAGCAACACTGGACTGATGCACTCACATACAAGTCTTTTGCACCAACCCTGTTTGTCGCCTCCTCCTGCTCCTCTCGATAAGGTTTTGAGCGGCGGCCCTTGAAGCACCCGTCTTGCCCGGATGGAACTGAGAGGGACAGCGGTCCTCCTAAGCCCCCTCGCACAGGCACCGTCCCCGCCCTGGTGCCAAAGCCACCCTCCTACCCGCTGGTCAAACTGGTGGGCAAGTTCTACACCCTGAAGTGCCGGTAAGTGGACCCTGTGTGTTGGAGCAGGGCTTCCCAGCGCCCAAGAGAAAATGTTCGGGCCCTTGACATTAGACATTTAGAAACAGCGGCATTAATAGAACTGTCTGGCTACATTTTAAATAGTCCCATAATCCCAAAGCAGCAATCCCTACCCCCACCCCCTGCTGAGCAGTACTCTACTTTTAGTTGCTAATGCACTATATTGAGAGTAGTGAATCATTTGGGATTTTCAGGCAACATGAATGAGTGCTTAAGTTCTGATATAACTGCAGTACAAAAGTTTTAACAGAATCGGCTGCCCCCCGAGGGAGGCACTGAGTTTAACACCATCAGTTCCCATTTTATTGCTTTGTGTGGAAACTTTGCTGGAGCCACAGTAGATGTAGATTACTTGCAGTGTTGTTCTGCATAACCCCCAGCTTTAATGTCTTTTTCTGTCCGCGTCCAGGTTCTGCGAGGTGGAGTTTCACGGTCCGCTGTCGGTACAAGAGGACTGGATCAGACACCTCCAGCAGCACATCCTCAAGATGAACTACAACAAGCCTGCTGCGCACAAAGCAGCCTCCGCTGGACCCCCTGCCCCAGCTGATGACCCGGCCCCGGTCCAGGCCTCTGCCCCAGCCTCCACCTCTACCTCTAGAACCACCTCTACCACACCTGCCCTCAACTCCACCCCAACTCGCACCACAGCTCCCAGCAGCCGCTCCCCTACGCCTCCGGCCGAATGTGCTCCGCCTGTCACTGCCACAGAGATAGTAAAGGTCTCAGAGGAGCAGCCCACCCCATCACCAACTTCTATTGCCCTCCCCACCCAGACAGTGTGAGCTCAACTTCATCACTGTCATTTGATCCCGTTTGTTTCTTCCTTTTTGCAGTTTCTTTTCATCCATCCATTTCTTTCCTTTGGCCTTCACAAAGTGTTGTTGAGGAGGAGCGTTTCCCCTCCAAAGAGCCCTCTGAGCACCTTTTGAAGCAGCTTCCTAGACTGTTACTAAGTCCCGTTACCATGGGAACGAAGCTCTCCTGGCTTATCTGAGCACCGGGCATGGATGATTGTGGGAAGTGTCCAAGGTTATGAGGAGAGATGAACCAATGCTTTGTGTTTGCCTTGCCCATATTGAATGTCCAGGTGATGACGCGGACCGTTGCTGTACCCCTCCTCCCATTCACTGGGCAATTTAGGGGTTAATATAGCCCTTTAGCAAACTTCAACCCACCTTGTCTACTACAGCCCCCCCCCCCCCCTTTCCCCTT